TTGAATAGTTTTAGGTCATATTTGGGCCATTCGTCAATAGGTCTGCCCAGGAGGTATGTCCACGGGTCAAGGGCGGGTGCCCTCTGGAATACCTGTCCCAGTATGTCTCTAACGTCCTCCCAGTACCTGCGGACGACGGGGCACCCCCACCACATGTGGATGTATGTGCCCCGCAGACCACAGTTCCTCCAGCAAAGATCAGTGGGTGTCTTTCGCATGCGATGGAGTTGTACTGGGGTGGTGTACCATCTAAAGAGGGTCTTGAAAGATTGTTCCTGGAAGGAAACACAGATGGAGGAGGCGGCCGCCGTCTCCCAGATATCCTGCCAATCCACTCCCTCTAATACCTCACCCAGGTCCCTCTCCCATTGATCAGTATATGTGAGGTTGCCCCATTCTTTGGTTTCTGAGCATATGTGCGCGTATAACAGCGTGATTAGGCTTCTGGGAGATTGCTCTCTAAGGCATATGTTTTCAAAGAAGGTGGGGGATGTGAGTGCGGCCTTTTTTGTGTGCGGTTGCCTGGCGTAGTCTGCGATCTGGAGGTATCGGAAAAAATCGGCCGGGGTTAAGTGGTGTCCCTGCTTTATGGTGTCAAATGGGATGATGGAACCCTCCACATATAGTTGGCAAGCTCTCTGCAGGCCCGTATGTTCAATGTTTCTGAAAGCTTGTGGCACTAATCCAGGTGGGAAGGCCCTGTTTCTGAGATAGGGCATGAGGGGGGAGGGGGAGGATGACAGCCGGTATTTCTGAGATGTTTGATCCCAAATGTGAATGGAGTTGGTGATGGCCGGGCAGGCTGTCCGCAGTATGGGTCTGGAATCCTTTGGTACCCAGATAAAGTATTGTGGGAGGTCGGAGCCCATGAGGAGAGATTCCAGTTCTACCCATTTCCTCGTGTCTATAGGGGAGTGCCACATTGCAATCTGGGCAAGCTGGGCTGCTAAGTAGTAGTTATGTAAGTTGGGAAGGCCTAGACCTCCCGTTCGTTTTGGGCGGTATAGCGTGTGCCTCGACACCCGATGTCTTTTATTTTGCCATATAAAATTGCCGATGGCTCTTTGGAGGTGGGCCAGGTCCGTTTTTGCGAGCGGGAGGGGAAGGGCTTGAAATAGGAAGAGGATTCTAGGGAGGAGATTCATCTTAATGGAGTGAATCCGGCCCATCCATGAGATGGGCTTGTCGACCCAATTCTCCATGTCTCTGATAAGAGTAGTTATCATGGGGGGGTAGTTGTATTTGTGCATTTTGGATGGGTCTGAAGTCAATTGTACTCCCAAATAGGTGATTGAGTGGGTTGCTATGTGGATGCCATGAGCTCTATGTATGTGAGTTATCACGTCTGGCGTTAACTCTATTGGTAAGGCACTGGACTTGGCCATGTTGGGTTTGTACCCTGAGAGTGGGCTAAATATTGCTAGGGTCTCCTGAACAGCCCTCATGGAGGTGATCGGAGACGTGAGGGAGAGGAGGACATCATCGGCATACGCCGAGACCAGGAACTTCCGTCCCTGAACCGTTATTCCCTGGATATCAGGATGAATGCGTAGCGCCTGAAGGAGTGGTTCCAGTACCAGAGCGAATAGGAGTGGGGACAGCGGGCAGCCCTGCCTCGTGCCGTTGGACAATGGGAAGGGGAGCGTGTGGGTCCCAGGGATGCGTATCTGTGCCGAGACCCCGTGGTATAGCGCTCGTATTGTCGCAGTATATGTGTCAGGGAGTCCTAGGTGGTCGAGGAGAGTAAACATATACGGCCATTTCACCCTGTCAAATGCCTTTTCAGCATCGAGTGAGACTATGAGGGTGGGGGTCTTGTTAGTGTGTTGTCGCCAGATGATGTCGCAGTTCTTGCGCGTGTTTTCGAATAATTGCCTCCCTGGGATAAAACCCACCTGATCGGCATCTACTAGTTTGCTGAGGAAAGGGTTGAGTCTGTCTGCCAGTATTTTAGCTAGTAGTTTCGCATCATGATTAATGAGCGATATTGGTCTGTAATTCCCCGGTAATTGCGGGTCCTTGCCCGGTTTCGGGATCAGTACTATGTCTGCTCGAGTGAGGTCTCCGTCAGGGAGGCCCCCTGTCCGGAAGTCGTTGAATAAGTTCGTCAGGTGGGGGGTTAATGTTTCTCTGAAGGTTTTATAGTATCTGCCGCTTAGTCCGTCCGGGCCTGGGGCTTTATTACCATGGAGTTTTGAGATGGCTCTATCTACCTCGTCTATTGTGATCTCCGAGTCGAGAGCGGCTGTCTCCTCTGGGGACAGTTTGGGCAGGTCTAGCTGTCCTAGGAATGCGGCTGTCATCTCCCTCTCGCTCGCCCATTGCGATGTGGTGGTCGGGGAGTGGTTATATAGGGATCTATAGAACTCAGTGAAGATCGAGGCTATGTCGGTTGGGGCTGTCTTTATTGTTCCGTCCGGATGTTTCAGTGCTGTGATGTGGTGGCGTGTTTGTCGTGGTCTTAGGGTGCGGGCTAGGAGAGTGTCCATCTTGTTAGCCTGCTCGTAGTAGGTCCGTTTGGACCAGAGAAGGCTACGGGCTGCGTCGTCGAGAAGCAGCTCCCTAACGGCCCGCCTAGTCGTGTCTAGTTGGGCAAGTGTGGTCTCCGTGGGGGAAGTCTTGTGGCACTGTTCCCTAGTGCGTAGGGAATCCATGAGTTCGCGCAGGCGTTGTGTTTTTGCTTTTTTCTTGTGGGTGGCGAGTTGGATAAACGCGCCTCTGATCACCGCCTTATGCGCCGCCCAGAGTGTTCCCTTGGTTAAGTCGGGGGAGTCGTTGGTGGTAAAATAGAAGGACAGCTTCTCCTGTATGGAGGCTACTGCCTCGGGATCATTTAAAAGGGAGGTATTGAGCCTCCACGTCCATGGGGGGGCTGTACCTATGTGCTGGATGCTTAAGTGTATGTCCGCATGGTCCGACCATGTGATAGATCCAATGCTGCTACGTGCGACTTTGGGCACTGTGGCGCTATTTACCAGGAACAGATCTATTCGGGAGTATGTGTGGTGGGGGGCCGAGAAGAAGGTGTAATCTGTGTCTCCGGGGTGCTGTGCCCTCCAGATATCTATGAGTCCCATTGCCCTGATAAATTTGTATAACGCTTTGTCCGAAGCACCCCTGCCCTGTGATCGTGGCTGCCCCGCCTTCGCGCTTCTGTCTGCTGCTGGGCACGGAGCCGCATTAAAATCGCCACCTAGGACCTGCATGCCATGTGAGAGGGACTGAACCTTCCCCTCCAGTAGGCCCAGAAATCCCCCTCTGGGGTGTTGGGAGCGTACACGTTTATAAGGTGTATAACTTGCGTGTTTAGTGTGCCGGAGAGGATAATGTATCTGCCGTTGCTGTCTCCCTCTACGGCTGAGACCCTGAAGGGGCAGTCATGTCGAAGCAGGATTGCTACCCCATTGCGTTTGTTTACTGCTCTAGCCTCATATACTGTATTGAACGTATGGTCCCTAAGGGTGACTGTGGCTTGTTTGGGTAGGTGGGATTCCTGAATAAAGGCAATATCGGGGCGCATGCGTTTTAAGTCTCGGAACATTAGGCGTCTCTTTTTGGGGGAGTTCAGTCCCTTAACATTTAGGGAGGTGATATTTAGTGTCATGGTCGTGTCTGTCCGGCCTCGCTAATGTCCCGTCCCCGCCATCCGCCCCCCGCCAACCCCCCCCTACGAGGGCCCCCACCCCCCCAAGCACCCGGTCCAAAGAGGAGAAATGAGAACAGGCGGGTAGGGGGAGGGTGAGAGCAGAAGGGGGGGAGAGTATAAGAGGGTAGAGAAGAAAGAATAAAGGAGGTAGTAAATAGAGTAAACATGTGTCCCTGGTCTTACCATCTGCCAGGATCCTAGGAGGGTTGTGTGCCGGTCCTTCCGGCTTCGTGTTTTAGTACGGGGAGTACCGGTCGATCTTCCCGTCCCTAATTCCACCGCCTAAACTGTTTTCTTACCTATTGCCAGTGTTATCAACTAAGTTGGGCCGAACGTCTATGCTGTGAGCCTGAAAAAACCCAGATGACCCTAACTAATACTCCAGAGGGGGTGGGGATCGTATGAGGGTGAAAAAAGGCATGGGGGGCAAGGGACGGGGGACGGGTACCCGGAAAGAACAAATAGCGAGTGTGTGCTGTGGGCATCATACCTGAGGGCCCCTCTGCCCGGGTCACCCAGCCCGCCTATCTGGCCTTAAGGTCCCCGACATCTCCGGGACCCCCTCCCCCAACCATCAGGACCCATCGGGCGTGCTTGTCAACATGGGAAGGGAAGGCGCCTGATCCGCTACAGGGGAATATGGGTCCCAAAGTCATGTGCCTATCCACAGGCTGCCCAGAGGCCCCGCTCTCCTCAACCCGGCCATCCCGGGATGTCTCCATAGGGTCCCGTCTCCCCTCCCAATCACTGCAACACCCCCACTCCCGTAGCACTCCATCCCCCCCTCCCCCCCCCCACCAGTCCAGTCAATAACTGAGGGTCTCCAGCGTTGTAACTACTCACAGCAGCTAGCACGTCGCGCCTCTCCGACTTCACTGACTGTGGCGGTCCACAATTTGCCAGTCTCGGGTCAGTAGGCCCAGGTCTTCCTGCTCCAGTGGGACCGTGGAGAGGCTCTGTGGTGGTGGGATATCCAGGGCCTGGAACAGTTGGGTTGGGCATTCTCCTGGCTGCAGCATGTGAGTGCGGTTGCCCCGGAATACCATGAGCTTAAAGGGGAAGCCCCATGCATACCGGATGCCTGCTTCTCGTAGCGCGTCCGTGATGGGTTTCCATTCTCTCCGGCGTTGAAGAGTGGAGGGAGCGAGGTCCTGGTATAGGGAGAGGTCAGCATCCCCATACCGGATGGGTGTTTCTCTGCTCTTCTTCAGGAGGGCCTCCTTAGTCAGGAAATAGAAGAAGCGCATGATGACATCCCTGGGGCTGTTCTGATCTGCCCGCCTGGCACGGAGCGCTCTGTGGGCACGTTCAATGTGCCAAAGGTGGTCTGGCATATCAGGGAGGAGAGGTTTGAGGATGGTGTGGAGTAGGTCCTGCAGTGGGCCTTCCCCGGCGGTCTCTGGGAGCCCGCGGAGGCGTAAATTGTTCCGTCGGGATCGGTTGGCCATATCCTCTATAGCCAGCTCAGCTGTTCTCATACGAGCTGTGAGGCGGTTAATCTGGAGGACCGCTGAGTTGTGGGCATCCACTGTGGCCTCCTGTTTGTGCTCCAGTCTCGCAGTTCTGACTCCCAGTGCCTGGATCTCATTCTGCAGGACCGCAGTGGATTTCTGTATCTCCCCTGCCAGGTAGTGTTTGAGCTCTGCTAATTGAGCTAGGATCTGTGGGGTATCCCCCACCTGATGCTCCGTTGGAGAGGCACTGCGCTGTGGCGGGCTTCTGGGCGCCGGGCCTGCACCGGCGCCATTTTGGGCCTGTTGCGCGGTCGATTTTGCGGCAGCAAAAAGATCCGCTACTGACGTCTCTGCCTCTTGCCCCTTCCTAGGCTGCTTCTTGGGGTTGCGCTTTTCCATCCTGCTGGGGTTTCGGTTCAGTTCGGCGGCGGTAAGTATGCCTTTTATTGCTGTAGGCGGCGGTTTCGGGCCGGAGCTTTAGCTTAGTGCGTCCAGCTCGATCGTTGGTCAGGCCACGCCACTGCAGAATCTTTTAACAATGCCGGGGGGGAGAACAATAGGACGCCTCCCGCCTTATTTTACTTTAGGGCCCCCACCCGCCGCTCAGGGGTGTGGGGCAGGGGGAGGACAATAGGTCCCCCCCCTTATTTTACTTTATGGCCCCCAGCCGCTGCTCAGGGGTGGGGGCCGGGGGGAGGACAATGGGTCTCACCCCCCCTTTTCTGATTAAGGGCCCGCACCTGCCGCTCAGGGGTGGGGATCGGGGGTGCAATAGGACCCCCCCCTTTTAAGTAATTTAGGGCCCCTACCCGCCGCTCAGCGGTGAGGGCTGGGGGGAGGACAATGGGTCCCCCACCCCCTGTTTTTCTGATTTAGGGCCTGCACCTGCCGCTCAGGGGTGGGGGCCGGGGGGGTGCAATAGGACCCCCTTCAAATTAAAAGCCTCCCACACACAGGTGGGGGCTCAGGAGGGGGGACACTTGGGTTTTTGTTTTTAACAGTGAGCAGCCACAGGCTGCTCACTGTTTACTAGACATGCCCCTACTCGCAGTATAGCGAGTAGGGGCAGAGTTTACTAATACTAAGTAATTTTTGCATAGTATTAGTAAATTTGTCTGAAAGACCGATTTAGGTCTTTCAGCCTTTTGTTAGATAGCTCCCTAATAGCGTGGGAATTAGGGAGCTATCTACTTATTCATTCCCATCCATTGACTGGCTAAGTAATTTACATTTTATATGAAAGTGTTACTTGATTGTTGTAAGTGTTGCAAATGTTTACAGCTGAATCTTGGCTATGTTTGTATACTTTTTATTTAAACTGGTACACAGTGTAACATTCTTCATTCTTCCACTGGGTATATTAGTACTTCGGCAATTCTGTGCTTCGGAACTTTGACACTTCGGCAACTTCGAAAGTTCAGCTATTTGGACATACGGAAGTATCCGAATGTCCGAATTTCCGGAAATGCATCCGAACGAAACAAATTGCACATGTCTATTATACAATGCTTTACTATGAGGTTTATGATGATGCTTGATGTCCTCATGCACAGTGTGAAGATTTCCAGCATCAGTTAGGCAACCAAAAGTCGCCTAACTAACCAGAGGTCCCTCTACTGGCTACTGGGCTAAGGGACCTGGGACTATGCATCCAGACCACTTCAATAAGCTGAACTGGTCTCGGTGCCTATAGTGTCCCTTTAATTACAATTTGTTTCTTAGAGAATAAACTCCTCTGCCTTACTTTGTATTTGATTTATGCTTAGATCTTACATTAAAATGCATATACCATTATGGCATTTAAAAAGGAACATAAACAGTACAAAACTATTATGGTGTGACTGAAAATAAATGTATTCCAGTATCTGGTCCTGATTGCATTGTGTATAGCCCCACACATGTGGGCAACTTCAATTGGTATCCTGCCTATAATTTGTCATTTGCTCTACAATAACAGAATTAGGAATTATTTGCTATAATATTATTATTGGCACATGTACAGAGCCTATTAATTCCGCAGAGCTGTACAATATTATTAAATGGACACTATAGTCACCCAGACCACTTCAGCTCAATGAGGTGGTCTGGGTGCCAGGTCCCTCAGGTTTTAACCCTTCAGATGCAAACATAGCAGTTTCAGAGAAATTTCTATGTTTACATTTGGGGTTAAGCCAGCCTCTAGTGGAGGCGCATCTGCAATGATTGAGGCATATTATGCCTCAATCACGCAGAGCGTCCGTAGGAAAGCATCGAAAAATGCTTTCATACGGACACTTTGAATGCACGTGCGGCAGTGCCGCGCATGCGCATTCGGCTCCTGTGACATCAGATGAGGATGCAGGGGAGGAGAGGTAAAGGAGCACGGCGCTGGAATTAGGTGAGCTACTGAAGGGGTTTTAACGTTTTAGGTGAGCTACTGAAGGGGTTTTTCAGCGCCACAGGAGGGGGACCCTGAGGGTGGGGGCACCCTCAGGGTACTATAGTGTCAGGAAAACTGATTTGTTTTACTGACACTATAGTGTTCCTTTAAGGAGACAACAAATGAGACAAACTATTACAAATTTTGACAGGAATAATAGGTTGATGAGGACCTTGCTCAAAAGAGCTTACAATCTAGAAGATTTCAGATCATCTGTCGTACTGTATGACATTTTGCTAGCGAAATGTGTAAATGAAATAAGTAGATATTTAAAGGGACACTATAGTCACCAGAACAACTACAGCTTATTGGATTTGTTCTGGTGAGTAGAATCATTACCTTCAGGCTTTTTGCTGTAAGCACGGTCTTTTCAGAGAAAATGCAGTGTTTACATTACAGCCTAGGGATAATTTCACTGGCCACTCCTCAGATGGCTGTTAGAGATCCTTCCTGGGTCATGGCTGCCTAAAATTGATCCAAACATTCAGTATCTCCTCCCTCTGCATGCAGACACTGAACTTTCCTCATAGAGATTCATTAATTCAATTCATCTCTATGAGGAGATGCTGATTGGCCAGGGCTGTGTTTGAATCATGCTGGCTCTGCCCCTGATCTGCCTCTTTGTCAGTCTCAGCCAATCCTACGGGGGAGCATTGTGATTGGATCAGGCCACCACTTCTGATTATGTCAGCAGACTGCTTGTTTTTCTGAGTCTAACAGCATTCAGAGTTACAGCTTCAGGCTTGAATACAGTAAGATTTTTACTATATTTATGGAGGCATGGGGGTGCTTGATGGTGGTTTTAACACTGTAGAGTCAGGAATACATGTTTGTGCTCCTGACCCTATAGTGATCCTTTAAGGATTATATTTATTAAGAAAAGCACCAAACCACAATGCTATTTATGTTGTTATTTTGAAACAGCTTAAATTACAGACACTTTCAAATTTACTGCACTTAAAGCAAAAGAGGTAACACATCCTTTAACAAACGAACTAAACAGAATCCTACTAACCTGACATCCCTGTGTTTGCACAAGCAGGGTAGGATCTGGCTGTAACAGCTCTTATTTTCATATCACCAGGACCAAAACTTTTCCTCTTAGTAAACAATGGCTCTTTGCAAGCCAGCAGTTAATTCTGCCCTTCGATGATGAGCGAGGAAAGGTCTCCTGTATGTTTGTATGCACTGCTAATTTTAGGTAGCAGGATATATGCTTTAGCCATTTCAGAATCTCCCAAAACCAACAGCTTGCTAAATGCAAGTAAGAAAGTCCCTATTGTCTGGAGCAGCATGAGCCACTGGGTAGACCTATGCAGAGCTGTCAGTCTGCAGTTGTTAGTTGTGTTGTCCTGGTAACAGGAAGTAACTTGGAGTTAAACGCTAAATTATGACTTACTGTGCAGGCCTTATTTATGGCTAGTCAGTACGATTAACAATATTATATGGGAAATTGTCACTTCTAGGATTTTTTTTATATTATAGTTATTAACACATATTTTCAAATATGTATTTGTGAGATGTGAAAATAATACTAAATGTAGGAATTTGGGAAGGAGGGGGATAGGGTGGCTTGCTGCTTTGGCATGCTGCTTGAGGAGAATGGGGGATTGATTTCTGATCTCCGCAGCCTGCCATGCTAGGAGGCACCTGATAAGCACTTAACTCTACACTCCGGGGAAATCTAAATGGCCAGACATGACACCCTCCACTCCCAGACTGTAAAGGGAACCCCCATCTGTGTTCATCCTCAACTATTTGCAGACGCCGGCGGTCAACTGCTCCTAGCACCACTAAGGCATTATGACGCTTGCATCTCTGGCCTCCATGGCCTCTGACCATAGCACACACTCAGTATTACCACCCAGCTCTATGATGCAACTAACATAACAAATGGACTAGTATACACTATTTACCTTTCTCCCGAAGAAGGAAACATTTTTTCAAATTAATTGCAGAAGTGAAAAAAAAGTTCTAGACGGAACTGAAGGAAGTGAGACAAACTTACCTTTACCCGGCGCCTGCGTTGATCCTCTCCTCCGGCCATGCAGGCAGAACACACTGCGTGGCCGCATTGCCTCAGTCCGCGGGACGCGCGGCTGAATTCTCCACGTGGTGCGTGGCCTGAATAAAATACTTACCTTCGGTCCCGCGAATGGCTCCCTCTGCTAGTTCACGGGACGAAATGCAACCTTTTAAAATAAAAGAAATAGCCATAACATTATTACCTTAAAGGGACCACGTCATCAAGGCGACCTAATGCTTTTTGTGCTCGCAGAGATATGACGTGGACCAGTGGGAACTCTTTTGAGCTTGTTTAAGACTTGTTTTAGCCTCCATTCTTTGCACTGTCATGGTTTCTGTTTGTGCTCCTAGTGATTCCCTAGTGATTTCCTGTGTTTGACCTCGGCTTTGTATTTGACTTCTGATTTCTGGTATCCTGACCATGGCGTCGTATTTGACTTGTGATTTATGGTATTCTGTCCACGGCTTTGTCCTGACTCTGAGTATTTCTGTTATTCCTGTCCTTGATTTATCTTGACCATGTTTCTTGTTGTATTAATACGTTACGTCCAGCCATTCTAAGGCTCGGTAATACGCCTTTCGGATCCACCTACTGTGGGTTTCCTCTTTCCTGTGTGTTGGGGTATGACTCCCTTGACAGGGGCATGCCAAGCAGCGCTGGGAGCTTCATCTATTGCTGGATTAAGGTAATAACTATGTTTAGAGCTTTTTACAAGGGGTCGGGGGAACCTAAATAATAACACCCTATAGGTGTAAAGTGATCCTTTTAACAGTCCAAAAAATTGGTAAATATACTTGGGATACTTACTTTGGAGATATCGAATTGTAGCCCAGAATTAAAATAATTTTTACTCGTCAATGTAATCTGCGTAATTAGCGCCCTGCTGTGCTCAGTAAGGAGTAGAAACTG